GACGATAACAAACCAGGTAATTCCAGTCCACTGCCTACACAGTTTGCAGTGAAAAAGGACAATATCAACCTTAAAGCCATACATTTTGACCCAAACAAACCGCTTGCAAAGCCTTTCAAAAGGAACTATTTGAACGCAATTAAAATGAGGCAACAAGTGGCGTTACCAACTAACTGCGTCATACAGTTATGTTGGAGCCCCTTCCTACGATTCCCTTTTCAATGGTGACTGACGTCAAGCAGGTAACGTTGCCTTTTTTGTGTAGGCGGACGAGTGGGAGTCGCATTAGAAAAAAAAAGTAAACAAACAAGATGAACGAGACGTAGAAATGTTTGGATATGTAACAGATCCTTTTAAGGGTGGCTTTTAACGGAGGTAAAATTATCCCTGTGCCCTTTTTCTCAGGCGATATTTTTACAAGGATACATGGTTCGAGCGTTACGATAGGTACTAGAATGCATCGCACGCTTTCAATTTTCCATTTCGCTGCTTCGTTAACCTGAGCGCTCATGGTCAATTGAACCAAAAGGTTAGCAAACTTGGTGTAATAGAGTACCTATTTAGAATATTCATACGTATATCTACATCTGATTTGGGTCTGCCTAATGAAACCCTCCATAGTTTTGGCGAAGCTGAGTTTTACAATACATCATTCTTATTCGAGGTTCATACTTCGGTCTGGCTGCCAAGAATACTGATCGACATTATCCGGCCTCTGATGATAGTACAGTTGTTGTCTAAGAACAAAGACTGGCTGCTGGCCTTCTTATTCAGTCGGTTAATGTTCTGCTGTAATGAATTAGTATGCAGGTGGTGGTGAGCTTCCTTTGCAATCACGCCTCGCCATGTCTCATTGAATTTACATAGGTAGGCTTGCTGTGTATTTGCTTTTTTGCCAGCCTAGCAGTTTCCGTTCTGCATTATGCAGTATGTAGTACGGTTTATGCTATGATTATTCCAAGGAGAAACATATTTCATTGAAACGATGCTGCTAGATGTAAAAGTGAATCCCAAGCAGCGTCGCTGTTGACCCAGACATTTTTTTTTACTGTTATAATTAATTACATAGTCCCTACTAAACTTTTCATACCAAGCAGAGCTTGTACTATGGCGATTAGATAACGTATTATAAACATATTCATGCCATCGCTCGTGTTCATAACAATAACATTCGTCCCCATCGAGATCCGAACCGCAGTCACAGAATATATGCCGCAGTTATGCGAAACCACCAAGGCAATCGACCTTCCATCATAGTCTCATGAAAAGTGTGAAGTGTGTATAATGACAGATTGCCTTTTGTTCGCGTTGACATTAAAAGCTCAGACAATGCAGAATCAGATCACGCTACAGCTGACTTTCTAAGAGATTAAAAACCTAAACCACATAAATCGCTCAAACTGAACCTAAGCAAGAACGTGTAGAAATAAAACAAGTTTCTAAGATCATGTCGGCTTCGTGGGAAATGAATTGATTAAATTAACAGTGCTAATTTAACTTCTTCATGTGCCGGCGCAGTGCAAGATCAAGATGCGTACGGTTATCGGGCGATCCGCAACAGAGCACTGTTGTTCAGAGTTCACAACGCTGTGAATGACTTCTTGTTCTAATGTTTACCATTTGCACACGTAATTGCGTCACGTTTTAAAAGCAAAAGTTACGCCGGTATAACAAACCGTATTTGAAAATAGTTACTATTATTATAACATTAAAATTAACACAGGAAAGTGTTGAACATTAGAATTCGGAACAATACATTCTGGTGAGAACGAGCTGGTAATGACAATAGCAATGAATGATCATTAAGTTACGTACGCTATAATTCGTCATCCAACTAACTGGTTTATATTTAGGTCAGATAACGTTGACCAATATGTTCGGTTTTAACTTCGAGGGTTTTGTTTTACATTGTCATGTCAGCACTTCCATTATCAATGAGTAACGCGATAAAGACGTCAAAGGCGTAATAATAGACTGGAGGCAATCTTATTATGACCCTTTGTCGTTCAATCAATTGACGATCAATATTGTCCCCCATACCTATTTGAGGCACCCTCTCGTCAAGCCCTTGCGATTCGCTGCATCGGAGTCTGCATGGCCTCTGAGGCTCTGACCCACATTGCAGGCGAGAGCAACTGTTCGAAAGCTCCTTTGTGGCTAGGGCTGTAAGATTTCTTAACTTTTTGATCAGCATTTAACCTATTTTTCTAAATTTTTTAGCTAATAACACCAATTTGCAGATTATTTAATCACCAGTTGACTTGCGCCCGTACTTTGCACTCGTAGAAGTTTTCAATAAAGACTAATTTTATATGGGTCTGCATCTAAATGGTTTAAGCTTTATCTAATGAGCACATGTACCTCATAATTATGTTTATTTAAGAACTACGAATATTTATATCAAAGCTTTTTGCCTTTTGCTCATATAAAATGGACTAAATTTTGCCCAAGGTCATCTAAACTTTCCTAGCCTCCCTATCAATACACGATAACTTGTCGAGCGAGCATTCAAAGCCCTTGCGGTTATGTAACGTGTTTTACGCCAGCTTGTGTAACCGTCTGTACATTTTATTAACCCTATTACACCTTGCACAAGTGAGCTTCGGATACGCTATTGAATATTAGCGTCAAACACTTCGAGTCATGACCTAAAAGCTGGCTGTGTTCCAAAAGCGAGCGTGTTTTCATATGCACCCACATCAAATCCGGATGTCTTAAATAATTCCATCAAAGCTGTTCACCTATTTTCTGTTTTCTAATCTTTTGCATTAGAAAATAAATTGCTCAAATTACGGCATACTACTCTACTCAGTCCACTCTTGAACGCAATCACTCGTCACACTTATGATAAAATTCCAACGACAGACAATTAGCGGTAGATACGGCCTTTGGTAGTTTATTCTCAAAATTTTCTCTTTCCTGAGTGTTGTTAGGCATCAACCTTCAGTTGGAGACGACACTTATAAATCATAATATTTGCAAAGGAACCTAGACAAACATTCCCAACGTCTTAAACGTCGCGAGCCAAAACATGGGTTGGGCAAGATTCTTGCGCAAGAAATGCCATTGTTGGTAGGACATTTGTCTTGCTGAACTTTTGTACTTGTAAAGCGAAGCTTGTCTGTTGTCCCACTGCCATTTGGAAATGGACGCTCTTCACAATTTCACTAAACTGTATCTGAATGAAAATAAATGCCAAAGTCACTTTGCGAAACACTAACAAAGCTAAGATCTTTGTTTGATTTATTGTTATGCAGCCTTTATTGGATGTTAAAGAAAACACCAACACTTTCACTGGTAAGTATAGCTTATTTTTGGTTTTATTTATTTTTCTTTGACTCAAATGTAATTACTTTTTTAAGAGCGTATCAAATAGAGGTTTGTATTCAAGCAAAACAGAACGCAAGAATGGCGACATAATTATCCATAGCAAATGAATGTCTGGCTAATTTAAATGGTGTTCTTAGCGGTAAAGTATCTATCCATTAGGAATTGCAATTTCCTGCCATCGCATCTTCATCAATCTTGAGACGGATATACACTTCCTTTGCTTTCCAGTCGGGTGGCTTTGACCCACGGGATGGGTTTCATGACCAGGACTTGCCATTGTTTCTGTATAATACGCGACTGGAAACTAAAATTGCATTATAAAATGGTGTCTTTTCTCAAGATGAACCTTGAGCATTTTATGGCGAATGAATGGCAAAATTTACGAGAACTACCATCTGTTTAAATTCCTCTGTCATCGTAAAATCTGGCATTTTGGTAGTAAAATGGTCAATTAATTTGGAAAGATTCCGTGCATTCGAATCAAAATGCAGCTTCTAGAAGCTCTAGACTCTAGTAACTAACTATAGAGTCAATAAAACTTTATCGACTTTATTTCAACAGCTCATTCTAATTCTTATTGAAATGACCTTTGTCGGTAAACTCTTATTATACTGTTAATAACAGGGCTTTGTATGCTAATGTGCCTCCTCCGGAGGTCTCAAATGAGACATTACAAACGTGTGATCATTTGCCCTACATGGTACATATTTGGCTTAAAGTATTTGCTCGTCTCACGTTAGTTTTCCTCAATCACATTCTATGAATAATGGCAGCTTGTAATATTTAGAGCGTAAATATTATGTGTTGTCTGCTTCATTGACGTACGCAATATTTAGTTTGCCATTAATATATTGAAATACCAATACTACACCCAGTTTATGTTTTTGGCAGAAGAACAAAATAGTTTTTAGTCATTTACGTCTTTTAGTTTTCCATGCGTTGGTTTTGTTGGTTGACTTCACATTTAATCTCTAGGACTGGTTCATTTCCAGTGCTGGTAAAGAAAATGTATTCAGAATTCATAAATACATACAGGGATCTTATAAAATTCAAACCGCTTTCGTGTCAGGAGTAAATAAATACAAAATTAATTTAGCCATAAACGTTAGGAAGAAGTAGTTTACGAAAGTAGGGTAAATTATAAGTATTACAAGAATGGCAGAGAAGGCCTTACAACAATTAGATCCAACGTTCAGACAATGTCATATTCTAAAAATACGGTGTCGTCGCGTGCCCTCGCGCCTATCATTACCGTCCTGTGCGCCTGCGCATCGTGAGGGGAGCCTCACGCACGTGCTGTATTATGAATTCAAATCAAGTCCATCCAAACAAAACGAAGGGACACGACGGTACATCGGATGAGGATGTTTCTTTTCAATTTTGAAGAGAGTATTAATAATGTTTATGGTGTTTTGAGATTTAGGTACCTAAGTTTTTATGTTTCCGCAGCTACTACTCTACACCTGTAATGGGCTTTCTTTTTTATAGGTAGATGTTTAAAACTAACTCGCGTAGTTCGTGTTCTGTCCGCCTCCTACGATCAGAATATTATCTTAGAAAGTACATTTTAAATATGCATGAGAAATTGAGAAAATTATACTCATAAAAATGATATTATGCAGTGTGTGTGGGACTTGTAAATAAAATTATGCTAATAAATACATTCCGCTACTTTATTTCGGCTAAAACTCCATAAATTCTGATTCAAAACGACAATACGACCCAGGAACGATCGGTTCTTCTTCATAACGCTCAAAGTTACTAGTGTCACCCGGTGATCTATATTTTGGAACGAAGGGTGGCTGGGATCGACAATTTAAAATAGCCTCCCACTCTATCCCTTTGAACCATTTATGATTTTTATAATCCATCACCCCATTTTTCATAACGCCGAAACGCTTGCTGATATCCACTTGAAGCACGTTCCTCACAAGATCTCTTAAATCGGCGTTGAAACTCGAGGGGCATCTATATTTACCGGCTACGATCTTCTCGTATGTTTTCATAGGCTCGTTAGCGTAAAACGGAGGGTAGCCGGCATTCATCTCGTAAAGAAGCACTCCAAATGACCACCAATCTACCGAAAACCCATATCCTTTACTCAAAATTAATTCTGGAGCCAAATATTCTGGTGTGCCGCACAGAGTCCACGTCCTTCCTTGTAAATTTTTGCAAAAACCAAAGTCTGTTATTTTCAAATAACCGTTTTTGTCAATCAATATATTTTCCGGCTTTAGATCTCGGTACACTAAATTGCAGAAATGCAGATATTCCAAGGCTAGAACGACTTGGCTGGCGTAAAATTTTGCTAACGGCTCTTCAAACTTACCCATTCTACGAAGGTGAGTGAACATTTCACCACCTGGTACGAAGGTCATTATGAAATAAATGTAACTGTTGTCCTTGAAACTAAATTCCATAGAGACAGTAAACGGAAATCTTATTGCCTCTAGAATACGTTTTTCGTACAAGGTGTGATCAACTTGTTTCATTTTAATTATTTTCTCTTTCTCCAACACTTTCATTGCGTATAATTTGTTACTTTTTGTATGTTTAAGCAATATCACTCTTCCGAAGGCACCTGTGCCCAACGTTTTGACGCGTTCCAATTCAGAAAATGCTATGTTGAACTGTGGCGGTTTACACCAACGCTGTTGAAATTCAATTCTCAATTGCTTTAAGTATTTCGTATACTGCTGTTGTTGTTGTTCCGTGTATCCGTCCTGTATTTCCATCAGTGTCTGGGGGCCTGCTTTGTATGATAAAATGTCTTTAGAAGGGCCATATCCCTTACGGGAATACATCTTGTTTGGGTTATTGACATAGTAGACAAATTTTGGCCCATAGCCATCGAGATTCGCAAGTCAATGAGAGGTTGACACCTATCGCACTAAAATATATTATCTTCAAACATAAACATGAAGTTACGTAAACCTATAAAATATTTAAGGAAATTCCCAATTTCCTTTTGCGAATGACGATGGGGATACAAAAATCCGTTGCGAATGTTTTCGGCGAGATCGAAAGTAGCAGAGGGTGCAAAGGAGTGCGGAGTGAGGGGTGAACGAACCGGGCGAGGGGAGGAATCAGCTGTGTTTGGGGTGATACGGCGTGCTGCGACAGCCGGTCGCCGTCCCGACTGTTGTATTGATCAGGCGGCACGTGGAACATACACAAAACTTTACCGTTCCCTCTTCCTCTTCCAACACTTAAAGCTCATTTCAACTTCGTTGCACTTGCTCTATCTAGACATAGTTTGAACGCTCTTTGTTTCCTGTTCAAAACATGCGTCGTTATATTTGTGTTATCATTCCAATATTATACGGCTTAAGTTTGCTGATAAGGTTTGGGCTGAATGAGGTCATTTTCCCATAACGTACAATATGTGCCTAAACATTTCTTATCGATCAAAAGCTTACTCATTTACAATTCGATGAACTACATCTTTGGTTAGCTATAGTTTGAAAAGCACTACTGCTATATTATTTTGTATCCACTCCCTTTTATCACCCACCGCCTCGAACGGTAATCGCAACTATTAGATCATATTTGGCTATAGTAGGCCAGCAATAGAAAAAATAAACTAGCATCTTGTATTCGTTATTGTACCGTTATTGAGACCCACTTGGCGTACGGAGTCGCACTTGCCATTTTTTATGAGCATGACGCACGGGGCCACATATCCGCTGTGAGCACTACGTTAGCTACGTTCGGGGAATTTAGTCCTTCGAGCCAGATGGCCGTCCGCGAAAATTAATTGAGTTTGCAACGCGATATATTGATTGAGCAATGTAACCGTATATAGATTGCAATTGTTGCTGCTACACGAACGGGGGCACACGATCGGGTCGGTCTTCTACATAATTAACACAATAGCGATGATCGTAACCAGATCGAATTGCGCTATCACTTACTACTACGTGCTGCCGATACCGACGGATCGTGTGCGATATAAATGATCGTTTTGTTTTTGCCAACACAGAGATATCGAGCGCCCTCTTTTTGCATAGAAGAAGTAATACAATCGCAGTGTAATGGTACGATAGCGTGGCCCCAGATTCGTAATAAACTAAGAAGCAATTTTGCTATTGAAAGACCAAGGAAATAATAAAGTTAGTAAAAAATATGTAATTAGTTGTACCAATGACCTTGCGTACGTTTTTTAATAATTTTAAAATACCTCGAACCTCACGCTAATGATACTGGTAGATTTTAAAGAATTTGCATTTAAAACGAGTCTCGGTCGAGCGGCTCGCACTAAACTGGCGCCATATTATTACGCCGAAGTACGTAAGTTGAAAGCACATTGTCCGTTGAATTCGAAATTGAATAGGAAATTAATGAGGAACACGCCCCGCGTACGTTGCTCTGTGCGATTCGAATACCTATTGAGTGCAGTGTTTGGGCAGATTTATGCGGTGGAGTCGCCGGTCAAGGTTGCCGGGGCCCGCAGTCCGCATCGCGTCTTGGCACGTCACCAGCATGGCGCATTCGGCTTCTTTTTGATATAGCTCAAGAAACTATCGCAATACCTTCGTTTGTTTTCAATGAGAAATTTTATACTATAATGGGGATAGCCTCTGCATGATCTAAACTGGGACTTTCCTTTATTAGTTGTATTAAAAGAACATAAAATAAGTCAACAAGAAAAGAGATAGGAGTTGATAGGACTGACGCTTAGTTTAAACTTTAAAGAATTGGTACAATACAAAAGAATCGCCGCCACCAATATGATCGCCTTGTTGAACTGAGACCTCAAAATGCTGCACTTTCACCTCTTATTCTTACGCATTCCGATGACACGTTTAAAATACAGGAAAAATCAACTGGTGTCGAAAAATGGGCCTCGTTAGCTTACCATGTGCTCGCTGATGACGGTTATTTTTCGAGGACGCTAGGTATCGCAAAAACTAGACTACGGACTTGTTTCACCACATTCGCCTCGCGGATATTTAATGCTTGCTAATTTCGCACATGTGTTTGACGTCAAGAAAGTAACACTAACAAATGAAAGTAATAATAGCATTTTGAAATGATTTGTGTTGTTAAGACGCGCGATAACAACAAGTGTGCCAATTCGGAAAAGAACTGGCATGGCCTGATATGATTGATATGACCTCTGCAAATGAATTTTATTCTTTTGTTTATCTTGTGTGACTAATAAATCTTGAAGAGGACTCAATATTCATGATAACGTTGTATCTTAAAGCCTCTTATCTCGCAAAAGGTTTTGGATGGTTTATTCAAGGCATCTCTTGCAAAATTGATTGTAGTGACTGGTGACACTGTTCCTAATGGGGCTATTCCCGTATTTCTATTAAGTGCTAACCTCTGTTATTTACACGGTGTCAGTCAAAGGTTCACGGTCGATGCGTATCAAATGCCCTTTTACCCTCTGCGTACCTTCGTCAAGTTAAAATATCTCACCTTTTACTTTAAAAATAGCAGTCTGGGCTGGATACGCGTTGAAAGAGTGACACATAAAATGGATCGTTCGGGATTGTGTATTATATTCTTCTAGTATTTAATAGGATTAATATGAGACAGGAAAATTATATTTAACCAACCGAGAACTATTATCGGAAGAGTCGTAATGTTGACTTGCTGGTGCCTACATGATGTTTGTACGTTCCAGTTAACAAAATTAACGATCGTCTTCGCCGCCTTGCCGGGGTTACATCATCAAATCAGCAGCTCCGTTTTGTACTTCAATTATTTATTTTTAACTTTGGGCAGACTTGCACAGATCTTTTGGCTTTTATGCTGTGTCACGTTTGATTGTTCTGTTTAAAATTTTATTTAGTAAAATTGTTTATCCTCATAAAATTATCGTTCAAAGCAAAAAGAGTAATCAGTAAAGTAAATCGTGTTCAGATTATGAATCTGGTAAATCCAGAGTTTGTGGACCAATTTGTCATCGTCAAATTTAACTGTATAGAGTTCTTTTGAATATTGACACACGATACAGTTCTTCAATACTCTACCATCTCTGTCAATCAAAGTAAACTAATACTTAGCCTTCAACTCAATTTATTTGTAACTAAAACTAAAAACCCTGATAAAAGTCTAATCAAGAGGTCCAAGTTCCATTTAAATAACTAAAGACAGATAAGTATCTAAGTGGCCATTAAAATGTACAGATTTGTCGTTTAGTAAAATTTTGCTTTAGAAGAGGCCATATTAATGCATAAAAATATCTATGTAGGGGATTCACATAGTTTATTTATTTGTTCTTAGCAAAGTACATGCATTTCTGTTATCTGTCTGCGTCTGCGAGGTTACTCACTCAGCCCGAATGAATCATAACATCTCGTAGCTACGCCTATAGTGTACAGCAGAGTATTAACGATATCCACCGGAAATGGAAGTGGGAGCTAAGTGTTTACACTAAAGCCGTTAACACACTATTCAAACGTAAGAGATTGATCAATGAAAGTGCGACCTAAGACAATTGCTATTCGTGGTACAACTAGTTAAGTCCTTTGCCATCTATTTCCATGACAACAACCATATTGTAATAGGTTAACAACTAATTAATTTATTAGCCACATGAAACTAACATTCATCACATTCACACATATTGTAATCTACACTTGCGAGCAAAAGTATGGAATCACTTACATGAAGTTGTTTCCACGCGATCTTGTGTACTAACCTCAGATCATAGAAGGGAATAGATGTGAAACGGGGGCGTGGCGCGTGTCTCCGCGATATGCCCAGAAACGAACATCGCCCGCGACGCCAGGTTAGTCGCGATTCAGTCGTACTGAGGAAATGTTCTCCGATATTGTTGGATAATGCGTCGTAACGTGCAATAACATAAGTGAAACGAAGAACTACAGGAACAATGAAGTCATTTACCACATGTAAGTATTGCAAATCCNTACTAACCAATTTGTTAGTAAAAAAAAAAGTAGCACCATTTTAAAGATTAAACTTTTAACTTTAAATTGATACCAAATTCATTTAAATCACACCAGTATTTAAAAAGATATCCCGGCTGATGTGAAGTAAGGAAAAAGACATGTATCAACTGCTTGATACGTCGCGAGTTGCGGCCTATTTACCCCCCATAAAAGCAAGTGTTTTCGGATTTTTGCTTTCACACGTTGATCCATACACATCTCCGCTTCTTTTGACACTTTACCTGGGATTCTACACCTTCAGAAGCAGCACAAATCGTTGCACTATTGCATGAAGGGCTCAGCCAGCGGGCTGTCGCACCTCAGCTCCACATAAGCCAGTCCTGGGTTTCGAAAGTTTCAAGACGCTTTCGGGAGACTGGTGGCTTTATCCCGAGACCAAGTTCTGAACATTGCCGGTGCACATCGCAGAGGGAAAACCGTTTTTTCATGTCAACTTCTTTACGAAATCTTCATTTGACTGGTATCGACGTCCAGCAAGAGCTCAGAAATGTTCGTAGGATAGCTGTTAGCAAGTGGACAGTTCGTCTAAGATATAAACAATAGAATTTGACTCCAAAAAGGCCTGCCACAGGCTTGAAACTGACGGCAGGTCACCGATAAGCACGCTTTTTGTTACTAACAAATTCGTTAGTACACAAGATCGCGTGGAAGCAACTTCATATTAGTGATTCCATACTTTTGCCCGCGAGTGTATTTAAGGAAAGTTCAGCATACCGAGACTAATGTTATTATTATAGCAATCGTAACAATTGATCGGTGACTATAATCGTTTGACCTTGTTAACTCGATAAAATTAATGGTTCAATCAGAATTCGTGCATGGTTGTGTTGAAATAAATCAATACTGTATTAAAACGTCCTTCACTTTGCAAAGTTTCAAACTTTTGTCGCCTTGACGTCTCGAGAACAGGCCTATGTTTCCCGAACTCGCTAAAATTTTCATCCAATCTCAAGTAGTAAGCCTCGTCTTCATTGTCGCCCCGTCTCTTGTCATTAACTCTCCGGAGACCCCCTTTTGTCATCCAGCCTGTCACGAAGGAACAGAACCCTTTTATTTATACCAGTCTTGTCTTTACGAACCTTGCTTTCTTTCCTTTGTGCGTCCAGCAAATGACTCTCTTGAAAGAAACTAGTGAAACACTGCGGCTTACACAGAAATAACGGTCTAGAAAATCCTTTTAGAACCGCATGTTATATGTATATGTATGCTTGACTGGCGAACGCCTGTTGTTGTCGACCTAGTTCTTGATTAAAATGTCCCGGCATCCCAAGGGATAATGTTCTATTACATTATTGCTTCTGCTGTAATTAGGCACGGAAATTAAAATAACTGGTTATAATATAGTTATAAGAGCATTGTCCTTATAGCAAGTTTAATATCTAATAGAGAAATCACCGTTTGTCAAAACGAAAAATCTCACGGAAATAACCGGGGAACAAACCTGTTTCTGGTCGGTGTTGTTGACACACATCGCGTGGCTCGGGCTGACTAAACACTTTTATCGAATTCAACTTAAAATACTGGCATGGTAACTGGAAGCGACCATTTGTATGAATTCCAGCACAATTTGTGGGCATTTATATGCGAAAGGTGATTCTTATTTCAAATGTATCCTGAAGGTAATTGATGAGAAGAACTACATTGAATGAATGTTGTTCGACGTTTCGCTCGAGACTCAGAATGCGATCCGCAAATATACTAGTCCCTACCGCAACATTTGCTTTTTCCTGTTCATAGAAATAGTCTCATCTAAATAATGCCACTCGACCAGTTTCCAGATATGAGAAAAGTCCATGACAAAACGACATTCCCGACTAGATGACATTGTATGTTGATGACATATTGCTCTATTTCGTTCCGCCTCCTTCCGATAGAACATTTTATCGTTTTTGTTGAATTCCATTAAATAAACTGTAGGTAATCGTCTTTCGTAAGAAAAACATTCAGTACTACGATATCTTATCTACAAGTGTTATTATTTGCATTACATGAAATGGTTTTTATTATCAATGCAGCGTTATCTACGTTTTTGTGGAATCCTTTCCAGGAACATTTGAGTTGCTGCACTTCTTAACTCGATGTTATATTACAAAATTGCCATCCATCACTGTTATTCGGAGAGCGCTGTTTGGATTACGAGTAGTAGCTTGATTTATGCAAATCTTGTGCACAGTCTTGTGATTACTTAATCACTATTCTTGTAAAGCTACTTGCGGTCGGTATCCGATCTTACCACATCCAACCCTTTAGGTTCGACGAACTTATCAACTGGTTTACAGATCTCGCTATTATAAGGGATACATTCTACGCATTAGTATAATGGGTTTTACATGCTTCACTGTCATAACGCAAAGTGAAGCTGGAACTATTAATCCACGTTATTCTAATGCAAGAGCTTGGTTGTGCTTCGCAATTAGACTTGTGTAATATGCACCGGTTTAAAAGTAGCTGCTCATTATCGCTGCAACTATTGCGGATAATATGCCTGATGGATGGACAACTGTCGACTGTTCAGACAGGATTAATATTCTGTAATCTTTGACATTATTTCGAAGTTAGCAGTATGAATGCAAAAGATATTTTCATCAATAAAACACCGTTTGCAAGAAGGTAGAGTCCATTGCATTGGTATATCCACGCCACTGTTTGTAACATCAACTACTATATTACTTTGCTTGTTAATAAGTTTTAGTCCCATTACTTTCCGAGTATTTTCGTGGCGGCCAATTACTTTGCCCATAAACCGTGTCACAAGTAGAAAAAATATTATTTCCTCCCCTCAAACGGTCACCACTCCCCTCGCTTTGAGGTATTATAACTGCGGTTCACTTTCGGTAATAATATTACAGGATTTTGTAAGGTTGCTTAGTAAGATTAAAATTTTGTATGATAACTAAGCTGTTCGTTTTTTGTTTCAGATTTATCGAAGAATCGATTCAGTGAAGTGCCCGATGAAGTGACTACTTATGTGTATTTAGAAAAGTTGTTGTTATCGCAAAATATCATCAGAAGTGTTCCCGGGACGGTCGGGGGATTGCAGTCGCTAACTTATTTAGATCTCAGGTAAGATTAAAACATCATCATTGTTATAATTCGGCTACTAATACAATAATATTATTAGAGTTAGTTTCATTGTCTGTAGATGTTTACACGAACCATTTCATTGTGTAGTCTGATGCTATTTTTAAACATATTTACTACTCTCATTCATCATTTACTACGAGTCTTGGTTTATATTTTACTTTTTAGTTTGTTTGGTACTTCAATCAGATACTGAGAGCGTTCTTTCATAATAAGCGCCCCGCCAACGCGATCTTCCAAATTGATCCCTAAATCTATGATGTGGATCTAAATAAATTCTTATTTCTTACCATCTGGTAAGAATTGTCTATCTAGACAGCATAGGATAGTTTTTATGCAAAAAAGGTTTTGGCATGTGTTAGTGTGTCGTTTGTTTCAGTGGTAGGTTACCAAAGAAATGAATTTGATACTTCTACATGTTATATTGATAAGGCTGATTTAATTAACGTGACCACGTTTCTTATATTCAGACTTTTGTAATTAGTTTTAAACACTGCAATTCATAGCAGACTACTTATTGCAAATTGTACTTAGCCTATAAATTGAGCATGAATTTATTGCGGTTTCGGATATTAGATCATTCATGTTGATTAATAGAAGTCATTAACTAATTCATGTTTATATTTAATCGATTATGCAAGAAAACAAAGTTAATTTGAATATTAAATTTAATAAAACCTGGAATGCAAATTAACAATGCAATTAATTAGTTTACTCCGTAATGAAGTAGGTATGTACTTATAAACTATATTATCTATATCAACGATAACTAATTAGGTAATCAAATTATCACACTTTTACTTAAGAGATCGTAGTCAAAAGATCTTTTGGTCCCGACAGACTGAATAACTTGCATTTCTCAGTACTTGCATTAGATCCATCTTGGCATTAAGGCGGTTTTCCTCAGGCACTGCCTTCAAATGTGGCAATAAGGATAATAGGAACAGTCTATCGGGATCGTCGTTATCCATTTTAGAACCATGTGCATCAACATTGGCAAAGGCAAACTCATCAGCTGGTTGCGTGATCTTGGCTACTTGAACTGGCATCTCATACTCCACAGCACATTCGTTTGAATAATCCCTAGACTCTTCATTGTCCAAATTGTAGGTGTCGTCTTCTGAACTTTCGGCGTCTTTTGCAAGCTTCAATTTCTTCCTAAACGTCCACTTCTTCGACTGCTTCGAATTCTCGTCAGATTCGCTCGTTTCCCCCTCGTTTGGTTGTGCCGCTGGTGCATCAGACTTCAAAAGAAATTGTAACTGCTTAAAATAAATGTACGGTCGTCTCGTTTTGTTCGGCTTCTGTATGTACTTTTGAAAACAGTCCCGTATACTTTTCCATTTCTTCTGCAGTTGAATTTCTGTCAACAAACAAAATTAAAATTAACTAAAGCTGACCTCGAGTAGTTTGTTTATATTGCTAGTGACATCTACTGACAACGTGGGTAAACTTTGCATCGCGCCGTATATACCACGCACTCGCGGTTGTTCGTCGTTAACGCGTAGGAATAAGAACGCGAATAAACGATACGGTTCGATCAGTCAGTAGGTTGGTAGCTACCTAACTACATAGATAAAACTAACTCGCCACATGAACGCCAAATTACGACTTTGAACTATGTGCAGTTATCAGGCACAGCGCACGGCATTGCAAAAAATGTATTCTTTTTTTCAGTGTTTACATCTAGATTGCTTACCAAGTTCGCGCCTCTCGCTCTTCGTGATCTTAACATCCGATTGCAGGAGTTCGTTCACGATCTCTGTCCATAGCTGGTGTCGCACATTTTTGGCGCGATGATCGGCGTCCTCGAAGTCCCAAATGCCCTTTCGTTTCTTGACCTCTTCTATCAGTCGTTCAGGATCGTATTCGAACTGCATGACGTGGATAAAAAAAAACGTCGACGCGGCGTTAGCGGCGCGGTGCGAACGCGCGTGCTCGTCGTTCGTACAGTTGAAAGGGCAGGCGACGGCCGACTGCCGCGCTGCCGGCGGGGGAACGCGAACGCTGCGGTTAAACTCCAAAATGGCCGCCTGTTTTCGTTAGGGTGGATATCCTTTCACGAAGTAGCTAAAAATTTTTCTTTTTTTCGTACTTGAAGTTTAATTAATTCTTCTGCTGACCTTCTTGACATATTCAATGTTGCGTACCTATCTACATTGATAACACGGGTACTTACCTTGACTTGAACTTGAGGCGTACAGGGCCTTGTTGATTTCTAAAACATTGCCTAATTAATTACATCGAGCAATTACGTTTTTATTATTTACTTATTTCAGACTAAGTGCTTCGATACTTGTTGGTCTTAAATATAATTAAAAAGGTATTAAAGAGTAAATTAATTATTATAATTAATTTTTATTAAATAACTCAAGGTCGTAGATGCGGCAGCGCAGGACCGGTCGTTCGTTATGAAAATCCTTAGAGGCCTTTGTCCAGCAGTGGACTTTATTTGACTGAAACGAGCGTATTTGCCTGTGATGTAAATAAAACACACCCATTATTTCAATAGCAGCGTCAGGCGACGCTGCACGATCACGCCACCGCTGACACCGCAACTTACCGCGTCATCGGCGCGTTTTCCTTCAATATTTCATTTTTATTAAACTTACTTCTTATCTTACATCGATAGGGTCAACTAGGCTTAGCAACTAATTGTAACAAATTTTATTTTAAATTAAATTTTATTAAATCATTTTGGTTTTTCTTTTGGAGCCTTCGGCTGTGACCTCTATAATTAACTTGACAAATGTGCACGAATATTTAAAGCGTTTTCACGCATGAAGTGTCTGTGAAGTGTAAGCTATTTCGCCTCCTTTTGTATAAACTTTGACTTAATTTAGGACTAGGTTTTCAATCAGCGTTACTTTTTGAATCTCGCACAATAAAAAACAAAAAATATCTGAAACCTTGGTCACCCTAGCAAACGCGCGTTATCGAACGGCGCGCGTCTAGCCTGCGGCGCGTGGAAGTAAACGCTCGGTCCGTGTTGGCGTCTGCAGACCACAACCACACCGCAACACATCGACTCTCCCGCGTTTCAAGTCAACGTTTTTTTTTCTATTTTGCCCGCTAACGTAGCCTTTGACTTTGAGACTTAGAGTTTTTGGGCTCTGGCACAGGTGGAGATTTGAAAAAAAAATTGAAAAAAAAAAAGATTACCCATTTTGGAGACCTACATAATAGCAAGATGGGTGTTTATAAATAAACTGGTTCATATGCTCTACCTTCATAACTACTACGTGACATTTTACTACATAAATAAACGTTACCAACCATACTCTCTTATTCATAAACATCAAAACATTCCTAGTTAATACTAGTTATGCGAGTAAAATAGTTTTAAATAAAATCTGTCTATTTTCTCATCTTTTCTGCTAGAAGCGGCTGCGATTAAATAGACGGATTACACCCCTCGGAGATGGGTTATCGATATTTGTACGAATCCTCTCTTGGCTAGGTTGTAAATCATCGAAATATTCATTACGATGTCGGATATTGGTAAAAGACGGCACGCCAAACTAAACATGGTGATCTCTTATGTGCTTAGTAATAGAGGCAATTTTGCAACATTATATCTGATTTGCTGTTGTTTGTACATTCACATGATCAAAACAACCTTTGGTAGAGTAGTGAGAGGTAGTTTCCACAGCAGGCAGTCGGGAAAACGCCACCCATATTGAAAACAATCAATATTTGTCGGGAAGTGAACGCATTCATAGATATTTAATTTGCCTCACTGGATGGACGTCTTCTGAATCTACATTCCCTTTGACCTGACTGCAGACCATCCCAGTGTGAGAAATCCTTAAAACAATTTTTGGATTAAATCCAGGGCTACTCTGTATTTCTGTCAATTAGTTCTCGCTAGCTTCAGCATGCCTGTCGTACTTTTTTATGTAGGTAGTCTCTTCAACAGTATTTAAAAAGAGGTCGGGCATTCGAATGAGGGTTTAACGTTAATCTTTAAACTGGGTCACCTACAGTCATCCTGTCTCATTAGAAATGTAGCTCAAACGTTGACTGAGCAAGCAAATTACTGGATATACTCAGGCAAAAAGGATTTATTATACAAACTTTGACCCCTTTTAAGGGAGAGAAATATTTAAGTAGGCAGGCTAGGTTGTCGTTAGTTTGCCTGCCAGAGTACCCACTTGAATATTAAAGGCCACGTTTCTCAGTAAAGGTATCTCCACATGTTTGAATAATCATACAAGTTTTATATCAATTTTGTAAAGCCAAATAATATTACAGCGAATGATCTAATGTCCTAAGTAAAGTAAAATAGTGTTGTCTTTCTATTTTCATGGATATTTATATTTAGTGCTAATGACTAAAGTCTAACATCATCAATAAGTATAACAATAATAAACTTTTAGAACTCATAACTTTTTTTTCTTCACTTTGTTCGTTTGATAGTATTTCTGGATCGATAAGAGTCCAAGAACTAAACCAAAATGGCATTATAAACATTGGATAATATTTAATTATGGTTATCGTTATTAGAAACTTAAACCTGGAATAATATTACATGATACATTAATTCAATTTGTAAGCAATAAGGATCCACTATGAAAGCAATCAGTCTTACTGGTCGCACTTGCGCTACAACTTGCTAAACTCAATTATTGTTCGTTCGTTCGTTTTCAGCCAAATGACGTCCACTGCTGGACAAAGGACAATTATTGTTAATCACATTTAAAACTTACTTCATTTCTGACTGTACTTGATTTCTATTTTGAATCAGTGTAGTTCTAATTGTATTTAGTTAGTTCTTATGCCTGAGAGACGATGAAAACGACTTGAAACATTGAAATGGCTGTCTTTTGAAATGACGTTGCCCCCAAGCCAGAAATAACAAAATCTCCGCGGACCATCCACCGAGATGGCCATAATGACGTTGGAAATAAACCAAACGTTTTGTCGAGATCCAAGTATCTTTTATGATTATAGGGCCTTTTGATTTCTGCCCTGGTAGCGGTCTCACATTCAGAATTCTCGATATATTTTTGTTTTGAACTTTAATACATTTACCTACTTCAATATTTCTAGAGCTTAAGTTATGAGCGTTCAACGTAGTTCAACTCTTATTAAGTTTTATATCTATTACCCTAACATCCTTTTAAGTCCTTCAAGTGGCGACACAGCCTGTAGTTAAATTAATCTGTGTCAGAATGCAGCTACTTTGGATTTGTAATGAACAGTTTGTGTTAAATTGTCAATTGCATTTACAGTTTTGTAATTATAGGTAGATTAATAGGTAGGTAGAACCCAGCTATTACAGCAATGTATCTGGCAACAAATGGACTCTATAAAGTGTGCACCTGTGGTGTTGATAGTTTTATACTCAAAAATTCTTACGGTTTTATCTCGGTTGCATTAGAGATTACGATGCTTTAATAGCCCATAATAACCCATAACATTATACCAAAGCGAAAATAGCCCTTATGGAATGTGAAGTAAGTTTGTTTGTAGGTCGACAAAAAGATCAGTGTGTGAGGTGAACGACCGGAGATGTCACGGCCGTGTTGCCGGTTGTATGGTATTGACTGGTTGGCAACAACTCCTAGTGCTCATAGACATACGGTTCAAATTGGCGTTTAACTATTTTATAGATTTGGTATGTCCGTATACGGCTCGCACGTGGTGTACATGATTAAGTACTAAACAAAACCGCCGTTAGATTGGCACGCAGAAATGAGACGTCTGTCTTTATGAACAATCAATTTAAAAAGTGTTAAAATTATAGGGTTGGCAAAAGTAATTTAATTAACTTCCTTTTTAACATTTCCAAATTGAAAATGACAGAAGCGTCCGCTATTTTTGACATGTCATTGTCTTAAAAGACGTCCTAAACTTAACAATCATACGCCCGTATTCACAGACGATGCTTGCTTAAGTGAATCAGCAAATCGAACGCACAGCGTTGAATAGAGCTCTGTGATAGGTTCGTGTGTCACCCTGTGCGTCCACGTGCACTGGGAGACCTCATAGTAATGTTTGTGAATACGGGCGTCAGCATCACATGAGACAGTGGTTCGTCTTGCTGCCATAATGTTTCTTATGTATTGTTGTCACCTACATGTTATTTCCTAATTCCCACACACGCACAACGAACTAATAAAGTGTACCGTTAGCACCTCAAGTTATATCATTCGTTTGCATGCGATCGAAATCTAGCGCAAGCTTATATTCCAGGAATATTGTGCTTGTGTAATACCACACGCCAAACATCGGTCTCGCATCGTAAACCTACTGTTTCGCGTAGTTACGATGAAATGTTGTGTTTATTCTGTTATGGAGCTTTCGCTGAACGGAACGCAGGACAATGCGGTGTCAAATCAATATTCCTGGGATGGGTGTAAAAGGAGAAGTATGTCTTGTATGGGAAGACAGCTGTTTGGAAGGATTACTAGGCCCAACATTGATCGAAAGTGCTCAAGTAGGTCTTACCGTCCACACATTTATTTATTTAGTATTTTTTCTACAAAATCATGAATCTAAGTACACTTATGCCCGTTTTCACCTAAGTGACCCCTATAAAAACAAAATCCATATTATGTATTTATACACTTAAAAATTAGGGATTGATGGTAAAATGGGCATTAGGCACCTAAATCAAAAGCTGATCTTAATAGATAACAGAAATAAAGATTTTGACAGCCCTATCTGCGCTACTAGTGTTAGCTAGAGTAGAACCTCCAAGATCTCTATCTAAATGAACCAATAAGCAATTTCTTACTTTCACGCTAGCATATAAGTACCACAGTGAATATTTTTCAGAGGTCCTTTCCGCATATTCTGAATGTTTGAAAACCCCTAGCCAATATAAAATCATAAGCCATGACTCAACTTTTACTCAACAGCACACTTATTTACGCCGCCATTACGAATTGGTAGTGCGAATGTGTAAAACCGCCTAGTAGAACGGGTATAGCACAATCAAAATACTATTTATGCCCACAATATCGGTAAATCACCGTCATAAAACCACTGGCTGGGTCTAACTCACGCATTGTGATCGCGGTTCGACGCGTGCGCACGGGCCATGACGTTTGAGTGCGCGTGCGCACGACCAAGCTTTCGAATATGGAACACTCGCGCCAAACTGATTGTATTAGGGGATCTAGGGTCATTCCATGACAAATGTTACCGAGGGTGAAAAACAAAATATGTTCTTTTCGCATTAAATCTGATGAATTTTGAAAGTAAACATTCCAAATTATAATGTGCAACAAAAAAAATCTGGAAGAAACAAGTAATTTTTAAGTTATTAGTCTTCAAAGTCTATACTTAAGTCAACTGTTTGAATGATCATTTTCTCTCTTATTATTGGTAATACGATTTAAAAAAAACTATCAATCTATGAACCGTTTTGCCACTATATGATTTGAGGGTATTTATCATAGTATTGGTAGATAGCGTCATAGTCCCAAAAAAATTGATAATCATCAAGTTTTAAGTGTGTTTTCTTGTTACTTCGGCGATGTAACACCCGAAACAAAAAAACAGGTATTTGTTTTATTATTGTACCTTACACATGNGTAAATTTCATACTTTAGAAGTCCTGTAAGTTTTAGGTATGATTCCTTAAGAAAATTCGCTAAATTTCGAGTAAATGCAGCAACAGTCAGAACATAGAGGCAAAATCTCGTAACGCCCGAAACGCACACTTTTCGACTCATATTTTCGTTATCCTACATTCTAAGCTGTACAAACTTTATTATTTAGATAAAACAACTAAAAACGGACAGATTAAGGCACTAACATTATTAAAATACTATTTCAAAATACAAGAAATTGTTGAATATGTGTGTACGAACGTAACACCCGAAACGATGGAATGACCCTCTATCTATTCCGGTAACAATTGGTCGTAAAATGCGAAAAAAATATCTCTATTTCAGCAAATTTTGGTAAGGTAGAGATGATTGGATCCTAGACATGCGTTACTTTTCGTCGCGAAGATAATAGTGGAAGAGGGTGAAATAAGGGATGAAAGTTTTTAGGAACCAATAAGTTCCCACGATCGTGATAGCTTTAGAATTTGTAAAACTTATCGTGTCCAAACAAACTTGCGGTTTCATTTTCATCTGTTGTGTAGACCTAAGACAACAATCCGACATGTTATGGACAAAAGTACTCGGAAACCAATTTGAAAATCTGGAAATTTTTTAGCAGACACGGTCGTGATAAGACTCCATTCCCAATCAGCCATGGCCATTGTTTAGTGATCAAGCAAATAACGAACGCAATTGTTATTCTCTTCACCCTACGATAGAAGGTAAATTATTTCCCTCATAATTCGTAAATAACATGGAGAAAGGACGTGTTGTTATTGTCAGTAACCTTGTTAGTCGCGAACTAATTTGCTAAGGTCGTCGTTATGTCAATTGTTGTCATCCCTCTCCGACCCTACTGTAGGAAGTGAATCGATATGATGCAGACCTTGAAACACCCACTGGCCGTGCAAATAATCAGTGAATCACCTACGAGGGGAAAGGTCCCACCTAATGCTATAGGGAACGAGGAATACAAACGAATACGATTTGTTAGACTTTGTTGTCCTTGATGTTAGATTTATTTTCATTAGGGCAGGCAGGAGTAATTTGAAATTTGTTTAAACCAAACCGCATCTGCACTCCGGTGAAATAAATGCATTTTCCAATAAATTATTAATGAGTGCGGATTGCAGCAAAACCTTTCAGCCTAAATGCTTGACGCTTTAAATAAATTATATACTCCGGACAAAATTAGATTGCCCGGAGTACGGCTCGTTGATTTAATCATATGAGCGGCCAGAATTTGCACATCAACCATGTTGGGAAACCTTTGAATTATTAACGGAGCGCCTACGCGAATGTTTCAAATGTCCAGGGAGCTGAGGGTCGACCCTCTGAGGCAATAAAAACGGGTCCCGTGGGCGAGTGTCATCATAGACCCGCTAATTTGGCGTGGGAGTGGCCCCGGGCAAGTTAGCCGTGACACTGAAAGTGGTTTTGAAAGGCAAGAAAGCATTACTGAATTCGTAATTTCTTTTCTTCGTCCATTACTCCAGTTGTGTCCCATACGTATTGTATTCACATTGATAAAATATAGAATTTTTTTGAATGAAGTACCAAAATGCGAAAGATACAATTTAGATTAAAGTTATATCCATGTATAATTATGTAATTAATTAAGCCTATTCTTCCGCCATGTCACGCGCTGTTGGTTCTTTTTGTTCCATTTTCAGCGCCCCACCAATGTTCGACTCCATCCAAGTTCTACTATGTAAAAAGTGGGATCAAATGCAAAAAGTTGTCTAGAAAACTTATTTACATTAACTGACAACTTGGCCTCAGGTTTCTTTATGTAACTGCTTGGTTGCCTTACATGGTGGAACGATATTGGTTCGGAATTGTGTTAACGGATCCCAATGGGAAATCTTACAAAACATAATATTTTTAGCTTACATCGTCAAAGATCGTTTTGTATGAACGAACACTTTGTGAAATGCTCAAGGGAATATGCAATGAAGAAACGATCCCTTTATTCTACAGTATTTCAATTGCAGAAACCACTTTGTAATCTTATCTGGAGTGGCTTCTGTCATGATAACAGGTAGCTTTATTAAAAGCATGCTTTTAATGGTGAAGCATCGTTTGAGGGTTTCAAGCTTCTCGCTTGCTTTTCGTGCTTATATTATTTTCTAATTTTTACTGAAAGGCTGTAGTATTTATACTAATGGCATGAGTTTCAAGTCTCGACACGTTGAATCCGCTCCGTATATGCGGCTAAGAAAGACACGTCCGTTCACCTCCGTTCTATTATTGATTCCCGGTCTAGCTGTATTGAATCTAGATTCAGGCATGTCTACGCGTCTAGACGGGCCCGATAATGGTCTGTCCAAAAAATTTCCGCAGACGAGGGTGCGTCTAACAATACCACTTTGGTTAGCAATTTGTAAAATTATGCAGACTCTTTCAGACTAAAGAAGTGAAAATTGCTTCAGGGGTGCATGAAAGTCTAAATTGCTACATCAGGTGTGGGTCTGGGTACTCTACTTATACAGCTAAGTGTTTGATTACTGATGACAGGAGCTATCCAGTATACTTACTTACGGAGTCAAAGAATGTATTATTCAGCACTACGATAAGCAGTTTCATCACAACTCCTATCTCTTTTATTATTACGCAGCTCTCCACGTGTGGGGTCGTGTTTACAAATGTATCAACACTATCCCCGCAAGAAAAAAGAACGTCCAATTTATCTCGCTCCAGTTCCTGAACTGTGTCAATATAAAATGCGAGAGCATTTTCATGTCGTTCCACTGCATCGGGAAGTTCAGTTCTAACAAACCGATTAACTGGGTGTTTACAAGTTTTCTTGGCACCAACTCCGCGTCTATTAGGTTAAACGACGAGCGATTTATGTTACAACCGATCTAATTACATGCAATCTTATCCCTAAGTATGTTCCAGTTAAAAATAGCCACCAATAACAAATTTCGATTGCGTGCATTTGTTTACATTTTAGGTTGTTGGCTTTTGGAGTGTCTGCGTGCTATATGGACGTCAGGTTATCGTGGGGCGCACAATTAGTTTTGACGTTTGACGATAATTAAAATTTACGGACTATACTCGCGTTTGTCATGCAACGGGGAACCAGAATTGAGGGTGACACCTTGAAAGATGATATTCTTTATCCAAGGAAACATTATTTATGAGAATTATGTTTATCCTCCGAGGTGAAGGTTGCGATATTAATACTTGCGTTGGCAAAGTCGTTGTGGTTAGATCTCTAGTGGTGTCGGATCTCATCGCGTCAAACCCTATTTGTTCATTTGTCACGAAAAATTCTGTAATAATCCTTGAATAAGTAGCCATATTGTTTAGATATTGTAGCAGAATTAAAGTGCCACTAACCATAATTTTCTTTTTCTTGTTCACAGTTCAAATCAGCTCACCGAGCTGCCCAGAGAAGTATGTCAGATGCCACTTCAGGTGCTCTTAGTTCCCGACAACTTGCTGTCCACACTGCCGAAGGAGATCGGCAAGATGACGTCACTGGCTGAGCTGGATGCCTCCAATAACAGGCTGACGCAAGTCCCTATGGCTCTGGGAGACTGCTCTGGACTGAGGGCTTTAGATTTGAGCCACAACCAGTTAGGACTATTACCTTTACGTGAGTATTATGAACTTGAACTCTTGACTAGTTAGTTAATGACTGCCACTCTAATTGAGTCAAATTTTAGACTCGTCAAACAAAACGCTATACCCCTACATAAAGGGTGTGATGAAAATAGGTTAGCAATAGGAACTTGTGACGTTAATATGTTATAAATCTTAATTTCAAAGATTTCGGGACAAATACTACATGCTTTTGGTGAAGATGTTCCTATTAAGTCATCATTATTTCAGCCATAGGATGACTTGTTGAACACAGGCCTCTCCCAATCATGTAAGGACGTATAATTATTGACGTTAACTGCAAATTACACACCCTGACAACTTAATTCATAAGAAGTAGAACCTCTGCAATTCTGTCCTAGACGCAAATGACGTGATGACAAACGTTAACGGCACTTAACAAGCCCCACGCAGTTTTGTTAAACCCAGTGTTTAAACCATCGAATAATTACAAAATTACCTTTCTATTTTCAGAAATTACATACCTTAGGTTGGAACATTTGGACGTCAGCTGTAATTGCATATCCTCACTGCCGCTGGAGCTGCGGAATATGAACACACTCGTCACGTTGAATCTGGACAACAATCCTCTAGTCTCACCGCCTACTACGGTATGTCCATCTTTATCTATATTTATAAAAGCGAAAGGTCACTGATTGACTGACACACTTATCACGAAATCTCAGAAACTACAAGTGCTATAGTCTGGTCGCCGAGCACGTAGAATTTTATCCAATGACCCCAAGCTACCCATCCTTATCGCTCACGCGTAATTATATTGCTGTCGCGACTGTGCGACGGGCGCCCGCAGTGAATGTGCGAGCGCAACAGCAACATAATGACGCGCGAGCGATAAAGATGGGTAGCTTGGGGTCATTGGACAAAATTCTACGTGCTCGCAGACCAGACTATAGGAGTCTCAAATTTTGCTTGGGGGTTCCTTTTAGAACGTAGGTGATTTTGCTAAATTCAATCATAGGGGGTAATACGGGATCCACGCGTACGAAGTCGTGGGCGGCCGCTAGTTAGTAATAAACATTGCTGACCCTTTAATGCAGATCTCTTTTACTTGCAATAGTGGCGGACAACTGTTATTAATTTCGACGTAAACAGTGGGAATTTACAAATTGCAAACCCCTGAATCAATAAATAACGTGGTTTGCCTGCTAGTTACTGCCTGTTGTTTGTATGCAGTACGCATCAAGACAAATGACCCTGTGCCGATCTCAACAATCAAGACCTAAATGCCAATCTTAATATCATCTGAGCTCTGGCATACGTCTCATCCGTGTATTTGTTTTAATTTGATTATGTAGGTACATACAGCACATAAAACTGTGGCATCTTATGCCGTTCTAATAGGTGCGATTTTGCAACAAGAATATTGTATTCTTAATGTTGGAGACTGTATACATTTATAATACATATCTGCCATTAGCCCAATTATTTCGAGAATCTCTTTGTTAAGCCTATCTGTGTAATAAATCGTGTAGCCTAGTTCTAATATAATAAAGATTCATATCATCTTCCTAATAACTCCCAATTTTGTTACATTCCTAGCGGTGCTTCCTTCATCAACAACCGCATCAATTATACCTAACTAGCGGCCGCCCGCGACTTCGTACGCGTGAATCCCGTTATTCCCGCTAATTCCCGTTCCCGTGGGAATTTCGGGAATTCCTTTCTTAGTGCACCTCTACGGTACCTAAGCTACGTCCCTTCCAAATTTCAAGTGCCTACGTTTAGCCGTTTAGGCTGTGCGTTGATCTGTCAGTCAGTCAGTCAGTTTCTCCTTTTATATATTTAGAAGAAGATACCTAACTAACTCAAACAGATCTGGTCCAGATGACCTGACAAGCAATAGTGACTGAGTTTCTTGCGCTGCTTCTACTCAGCACTGGCCCATTTATTATCCTGAAGCAGTGGTAGGGTTAATACTGGGACCTAAAAGTGCTTTTTATAAGCCTACTTGCATAAATAAATGAGTTTTGTACCCGTCATCGCGAGCTCCAAGTCGATGTTTTCCCTTTTACTATGACAACTACTTCTACTACTAATCGTAATTTCTTCTCCTATTTCAGATTTGCATGCGCGGGCGCGTGCACATCTTCAAATACCTAGAGAATATGGCAAACAAAGATAACTTACCGGCACACAAAAGGATCGAAGAGACCCGAAGAACGGCCAAACACAGTTCGTACATAAACAACTCGCCGAATCAGTCGGCGAACCATCAAATTACATCGGGCAACGCTACCATTGACTGCTTGAGGCACAAACCGAGGCATGTGGTGGATAGTGGATACAGTACGGACGGCGTAGACAAGAGGTGGTCAAATGATGGTGAGTTTTGATCATGTTTAGGTTAAATGTGGGACTAATGACGATAGTATTTTTATGATGTACCAAGCTAACTTAGAAGAAGTATTTAGTGTGAAAGGTTAGGGGTTTCATAAGGACGATGATGCTTCTTAATAGGTACTTCTTATGGACAAGTTTTGGTCATGGCTGTAATTTCAACACCGAGTCAGCTTGGCGTTACTCAATAATATTTATTTATGTAGATATTTGCGACGATTTTTCTTATAAAGACTTACTACTGCTAGCAGATAAATAGTGGCCAAATCCTAGATGACCTATCCAATATAATTCAGAATATAAATCCAATTTAGATTTAGCGGTTAAACTCATCATTTAGTCCAGACAACACGACAGGATGAAGTCATAGAATCAAAAAAATTGGCGCAAGCGTTCTGTCATTTAAAAATAATCTTTATTGGTCTAACATAAGTTACAATTTACAAACTATAATAGGAGTACGTTTGTAGATATGACAATTTACTTCGTGTCACAGTTCGTTACTCTTGATTTGAATAAGTCGCACTTTTGTGCGCTCGCTTATCCGGAACGGAAATTATTAAAATGCGCATTGCTTACAATGACTTCATTATTATGATTAATTTGCGCATCGATACAATCATCGCTTTAATAGGAATGTAACTGCTGCAAGCAAGTCATAGGTATTTCTTGGATATTACCTTGGTGACATAATGAGTTCAGAGGCAGAATCATTAAAAATGTAATATTTATTGTATTTATCTTGTGTTGATTGTTCGACTTTATCAACAGACAGCCAGTGATAATTTCACTGTCTTATTTAATACTTGAGTCATACTCTTTTATTTATTTATTTGCCACTTTTAAGCGCTAGTTAGGGTCAAAATTACATCTTCAAGCGCATATAGCACTTCAAGTATCAGCGAATCGAGACACAATAGAAATCAATTGTACCGCGGTCTCAAGCGACCGCTTAGGGTTCCACGGGCTAGCTAAGAGTGGGACGAGTAATCGCCATATTGTGTCATCATCATCAACAGACTCAGGTGGCGATAATTTTATTTCGTTCTGGGCGCGCTTTACGCCTGTTATGATACAGGCGCGGATCCAGCCCCCAAAAAAGGTTGTGGGCACAGCCACCAAAAATTAGCAAAGTGAGAGTTGGGTTGGAGTACGAGCTCACTCATGAACAATCATGGACTACCTAACCTGTGTTTTGAATTTTTTTTTAATTTGATATTATTTACAATGGTCACATCATCAAATCAAACTGGACTTGGGCAGGCGCGCTAGTAGCACCAAGTGGTCGGTGGCGGCGGCGTTTTAGTGGAACGGCTGTGTTCCAAATCACGCTCGATTTTTAAAGGCTCATCAGTCAGCCGTTTTTATCATCAGCCTATCGATCTTATCAATAGATCATAATTAAAACAAGCAAATTAGGGTTGTGGGCATGCCCACAGTGCCCACAACGGTGGATCCGCGCCTGTTATGATAAGCCCTTAGGGCAAGGCTGCAGCTGGTCCAATAGATTTTCCAGATGAGCAACATTTCTTAGACTGTAGCTACGCCGGGCCACAGCTTTTTGAAAATCCTGCCTGGGTTTGGCCAGGCTTGCCTCAGGGCTTAGTCGTAGTGCCATCTTCAAGCGCAACCTTGTCCCCTCAGCTTGTGTATCATCATCATTTTATCACCACAGGAGGCGGCGAAGCGGGGGGCGGGGGCTCCGGTCGGTCAACGCCATCTACACCGTCAACCCTGTCTCCAGGAGCAGCGCTATCGCGGGCTCAGTCTCTATCGAGTGAGACGCCGCTAGCGCCGCTCACTCCTCTGCTATCGGGGTGAGTGGAGATTATCCTACTTAAAGGCATATTCAAACCTGAGCGATATTCGCTGCCGCTGTGGGTAGAGGTACATACCGCGCGGGTTTCGCTCAGGTATTTAGTATCAAGTATCGCGGCTAGAGCGACCTGAGCGATATTCGCTGCCGGTGTGGGTAGAGGTACATAGGTAGACGATAGCGAATACCGCTTAGGTCTGAACAGTATTACTACCGCACACCCACTGGGTTTTCTCTGCCGCAGACGGTAGCGAATACCGCTTAGGTCTGAATAGGCCTTTTAATATTATAAATGCGAAAGTTTGGATGTCTGGATGTTTGTTACTCTTTCACACAAAATATCCTGAATGGATTTTGTTGAAACTTTACTGTATTATTGTTTGTAACCCAGATCAACATATAGGCTATAATTTATGCCGATCTATGACACTACATTTTACGCGGGTGAAGCCGCGGGCAAAAGCTAGTATTGTATATTGGGGCTCTTTGTGTAAATATGAAGATCTTTTTGAGGTCAACGTGTTAACAAATTAGACATAGTAGTTTGACATTACGCTACTATTGTAAGCGCTGGGCCTATAAAAGAATTATTGACATAAGTCTTGACATTTACGCTACTTCTATTGTATACGCTGGGCCTTTAAACAGTGTAATATTCGTTTTCAAATGGTGATCATTTCAACTAATATGGAAATGTTCTCAAAAACACTTCTATGGGGTAACAGCCGATAGGCAGTATGGACAAGTTTATTTTGTCATTTTGTATATGTTAAAGATCTATTCTAACTATCAGAATTGGTTTATAAAAGGATGTGGAAATATCGTGCTCCTTGGAAGAGGCTTACGTCTAGCAGTTGACTGATAAGACGAAATAAACGTACTTTTGATGGTCACTAATCACAAAATAATGTTAGTTTGTAATTTAGAAAATGACTGTCGATATAAGGCAGACTAATTCACTGTTAACTTCATAATGATTGATATTGTTCGCTGATTGTATCATCAGCGTCAAACCTTTTTAATATCGAAAACACACTTGGTATATGTATGGGGATCATGTCTTGCTATTTATTTTTCTTTCAAGGCAGGATAAAATAATTTTGGTATACATAAAATGGGAGATAGCTTGGCGCTTTATTTCAGATTCAACCTAAAGGGATTTAATTAAAACACCAGCTAAAAGATTACACGTCATTATCATCAATTAGTATTCTATTGACTGTACAACATAGATGTAGATTGTATTTATTAGATACTCTATTGGCTATGTTATTTACGTTAATTTATTTTATTTTTTCTTTTGCATTCGCCGATCCAGAGGTAAAAACTAACTCTAGATACGTCACCGCCATCTATCGCTCCTCTGTCTCATTTTTTGTCTTTTTATCTTTTTTTTTCCACCTGTTTTTTATTAACCCCGGTGTTGTCCCTTTCAGCCTACGTATTTCGCCCGATGGGAACCTTTCCAATGGCGACGATAAGAGTAAAGTAGCCCATCAACAAACATACAGGTACATGGTCATTCATAAGCACAACATTCGCACACATGCCCGCACTAACTTTGCTTGTATACCGCTAAAACTTTAATAACACTTGGATAGATTAACATTGGGTGCTCATAACTGCCATTTTATCGTAATATGTAAATAACAATATGTTGTCCTGCTACTAATGAGATTGCTTTTTTCTAATGCACTGATGTACTAACTTTTGTCCCACCATTCAAATACTGTTTCTGGGATATTGAATGGGAGATGAGAAGCGGCGTAGTCACGTGTCTCGCCTCTTCCTTATCTGCATTTCACTACAGAAATAGTCTTTGTTGAATGATTTATCTATATGTGCTTACTAAGCAGCATTGTGATTGTAAATATTGATACAACAATCTAAACTGGAGATGACAGTGACTAATGAATAATATCTAAGTGTTATTAAAGCTGTACCCCCCACTTACACAATGTCACTAATCGATTATTAAAAATGTTTCCAGACAATACAAAGAAGCCCTAAGACAGCAGCGCCAGCAAGACGTCTACCGACCCCGAACGGACCAGCCCTCGCCTGAACTGGACTCCTCCCCCCAATCCTTAAACCAGAGTCCAGTCCACGCGAAGTCCTCCCCTCACTCACCAGTCAACGGCTACAGTAACGTATCCCCTAGTTTCTACTCCCGATCCATATCTTCCAACGCTAGCATTTCTACCTCATCCCCTAATTCGTCTCAAGTGCCAAACTCCCCCCTCCTCCATTCCACCCCCAGACGATTCCAGAGTCAGAATGGGAATAACGACAAAGAAGAAAATAAACGACCAGTGCAGAAAGTTGTGCCATCTCGTAATGTCAACAAAATGTATTCGAGCGTCAATGGAAACGTAGACTACAACCGAGTGAACGGTCAAACCGAAGTGTACATTAAACCGACATCACCTACTAAATCACCAACTAGTACATTAGGGTACAATAGCATAGGGAAGTCTAGTATACCGCGAGTGAATGGGGACAGCGCTCGACTGTTGACCACAAGCGTGTCGTACTTGAAAGGTGCACCGAAGCCGGCGGGCAAGATGGCGTGGAATAAAGAGGCGGCGGCGGATAAGCTCAGCTTCACCATGAAGAGGGAGTTTGATAAGCAGAAGGAAGAGGAAGAATTATTGCAGCAGTTGAGGACGGTAAGTTGGTCTCTTTATTAAGAAACGGTATCACAACTCACCTCATAAAGACGACCTCATAATGGTAGTAGGAAGGCGCTGGGTGCAGGCCGCTACCAACCGGGCGATATGGAAATCATTTAGAGAGGCCTATGTTCAGCATTGAACGTCCTGTGGCTGAAATGATGATGGTATCACAATTTAAGTTTGAAACATCTACGATCTGAAGAGAACTTTCGATCGTATTGGATTTAAGATTCGGGACTATTCTCACTACTGAACTTCTCTGTAACCATTATCTACATTTTACATATGATCATTATTGTCCATTAGGTCATTTAGACTTAACTGCAGAATTACGACCCACTCATTTCACCCTAATCAAATGAATGATTTGGCTTACACTCCCCATTTTAGTTTTTTACTCCATATTTTGACAGATGGGTTAGTCGCATGTGTGTCCCCTCTTGTAACATTTACGGAAAGAGTGGGGGTGATTCGATTCTACTCTACTGGAATAACACTTCTTATTGCAGATACCAATTTTTTTTATTGTACATTTCAGATAATAATAGGAAACATAATTCTTATTTAAGTTAGGTACCTAAAGTGTTTTAATTGTACATTTCAGATAATAGAAACACGACTGAAGATGTCACTCCCAGAACAGTTGGCGCCGGTTCTCTGCGACGGGGTGGTACTGTGTCATCTCGCCAACCACGTGCGACCTCGCGCCGTCGCCTCCGTGCATGTACCCTCGCCCGCGCAGGTAATTACTACTTGTACTCTGCCGGTACGGCTACGGTACCCCCTTGTACTCTGTAGGCTTACTGTCGCAGGTACGGTACCCATTTGTATTCTTTGTACTCTGCCGGTACGGCTACGGTACCCCCTTGTACTCTGTAGGCTTACTGTCGCAGGTACGGTACCCATTTGTATTCTTTGTACTCTGCCGGTACGGCTACGGTACCCCCTTGTACTCTGCCGGTACGGCTAAGATACCCCCTTGTACTCCGCCGGTACGGCTACGATACCCCCTTGTACTCTACCGATACGGATACGGTACCCCCTTGTACTCTGTAGGCTTACTGTCGCAGGTACGGTACCCACTTGTATTCTGCAGGCCTCTTGCTATCGCAGGTACGGTACTACCTTCTATTCTGCAGGCCTGGTGCTGTCACAGATACGGTACGCCCTTGAATTCTGCAGGCCTGGTGCTGTCGCAGGTACGGTACTACCTTGCACTCTGCAGGCCTGGTACTGTCGAAGGTACGGTACCCCCTTGTACTCTGCAGGCCTGGTACTGTCACAAGTACGGTACCCCTTGTAGTCTCAGACAGTAAAGACTCTTGAAGATGTCGTTCCGAGAGCTGCTGGCCTTGGTTCTATGCGACGGCGTGGTACTGTGTCATCTCGCCAACCACGTTCGACCTCGCGCCGTCGCCTCCGTGCACGTGCCCTCGCCTGCGCAGGTAATTACCACTTGTATACTGCTATCGTAGGTATTACACCCCCTTGCTAGAAAGAGCTTGGAGTAGAGACCGTAATAAAACCCGCGGTAGAGGAAAACTGCGTAAAAGATAGATGACATCTGGCAACAAGCTGGAATAAACTGGATGCAAGTGACCAGGTACAGAAGTCGGTGGAAGGTTGAAGAGGAGGCCTATGTTTGAAGACGTAGATAGATAGATAGACAAAGGCTGACGTAGATAGATAGATAGACACCCCCTTGTGCTCGATAGGTACGGTACCCCTTGTAGCTTCAGACAGTAGAGACGCTTAAAGATGTCGTTCCGAGAGCTGCTGGCGCCGGTTCTCTGCAACGGCATGGTGCTGTGCCACCTCACACTCGTACTGTCCCAGGTCCGGTACCCCCATGTTTTCTGCAGGCCTGGTGCTAACAAAGGTATGGCACCTGCTTGTATTTTGTTGGTAAAGTACTCCCTTATACTCTGCAGATACAGTATTGTCCCAGGTAAAGCATCCCCTTGTGTTGTGTGGGGGTACCGTAGTACCCCCTTGTACTTGACAGACTTAACACTATCACAGGGGTGGTAACCTCCTTGTATTCTGCAGGCCTGGTACGAGTACTATCGCGGATACGGTACTCCCTTATACCCTAGTACTGTCGTAGATACCGTAACCGACCGAAGTCGACGGTACGGTCGAATCACTCATTTTATAGCTTTTTTTTAAATTACTAGGCTTACATTGCCTACGCGTCTTGTATTATTTTTCCCTAAACTGTAATTAATATTTGTTTTGTTGTTTCAGCCCAAACTCACAATGGCAAGGTGTCGAAGAAACGTGGACAACTTCTTGGAAGCGTGTCGAAAAATTGGAGTTGAAGAGGTAACCATTCTTTCATATTCTTTAACATTTCATTTAACCTTCCGTTCGTAAAGAGTCCGTAATTGAACATCACGTAACGGTTCGGCTACTTTGCATGATCGTTTTATCTTGTCAGTTTCACTGATAAATATGACGCTTTCATTATTTTCGATAACGGCGTAATTTGGGCGGTGATAAAAAGTGCTTGATTTACTGTGCCCCACTGACCTTTCCTCGTTTAATATATTATTCGTACCGCCGTGTCCGTTTCGAGTGTTACAGGGTATCGATATCCTTTTGCGAGCGGAACAAAAGACTGTTTATTAAAAGAGACGGGTGGCGTGTGTTGCAGGAGGACGTGTGCTCGCCCGGGGACATTGTGGGCGTGGACTCCGCGCCCGCCGCGCTCGCGCCTCTCGCTCGCACAGCGGTCGCGCTCCTCGCACACGCCACGCCCCCTAGTCACGCCCCGCCCCCTTTCCGCGACCAAAGCGATATCGGTCACCCGTACGCTCGAACCTCTGACCAATACGTACAAGACCCCGATTACACACACTACGATAACAACTCGGTCGATTGCGTCGAAGTCAACTACTACAAACGGCAGCTCCGAAGGTACTCCGAAGAAAGAATCTTGAGCAACTTCAACTTTTCCGACGGCAACTACACCATTGATGAGTCTGAGGAGTTTCAATTGAACTACGAAAACAACAACACAGAATCACCACAAAACATCCACTATTCTCCGGTTTACGGCGACGGACTGCGGAGCCGTGGCCCGTATTACCAGAATAACAGAGTCCAATTTGTGCAACCGTTTTATAAAGATCACGTCCTCCGAAGCGAGAACTTTGAAATTTACGACACGGATGAAGTGGATTTTCCAGTAGAATTATCGCAAGAGGAGAATATGCAACGCTACGACAGGGGAAAAATGAATCTCGACATACAGGACAATCTGAACAGGGATCTTAAAACAGAGACTGAAACGGCTAAGGATAATGAGAACAGACTGCTTTTCACTTGCCTGTGCCTTGGCACATTCCTTATATCTACGATTTTACTTATTATGTACCCTTTGTAAGTCTGGGATGGACGGCTGGGACGCGTGAACTAGTTTATACTTATTTTTAATTTATACTTATCGATGTGAGATAGAACTTACACTGTGTTTTCTGTTACATTACGAATATATGGCATTTAATAATATTTATGTACGATTTGAAACAATTTTCAGCAAAAAAAAAACAACAGTGTGAGTTCTATCTTTCTATCAACTTAATTAATATTGTACACTAAATATGGCAACTATTCCCAGTAACATAAGTATACTTAGTGCGAAAACAATTTGGATAAGTTAATATATTACAATATTAACTTATTGAATTGCTTGGACCACACTATTGCCTTACATATTCACAGTCAAACTGTGAACGTAGTCTGAAATTAGATTTTGAGGCTGCTTTTTCGTATTATCTAGTGCATTCTAGACTTTGTATGAGGCTTGATGTAACTCGTCGGTATTGATCTGGAAGACTTGTATTTACGCTTGATGGTTTATAGGATTTTTTGACGGTGATAATGCATTTACGCAAATATGTTTCGAAGTGTGATGTACATAAAAACCAATATGCAGTGCAATAACAATGCCAATTGCTGACAAGCGAATTGGTGTTACCAGTTGTCTAAAGACTCCGCCTAGTGTTGCTATTTATTATCCCTATCCAGTGAAATATCAGTGGCCAATCGGTCAATTTTCCAAAAATATCGAATATCCGCAATGAATTTGACCTTTATGTCTTTGATGTACGGGTCAAAACCTATTGTGGAACTTTGACATTCTCACTTCTTTAGGGGTACTGGCTGGCTACCAGTAACAATGTACTGCAGACATGCAAAGATTTTTTTACACAATTAATTATTGAGTGATGCAGACTTTTTTTATTTATTTTTTTTTTCTTTGTCTATCCATGTATTTTTCCATTCGGATTTGAACAATGGCAAAATTCCCTGTTGATACAATTGCTAAAATGGAATACGCGCTTACTATGTGTACCCAAGTAAGGTTAGCATATTATTTAATAAAATGTAAGCGAATAACTTGTGTCGATGATAGAAATATAATCAGGAACTCTTGATGCATTTGTACTGGAAAAATAAGACTTGTTAAGGGAGAATTGGCTTGTGTGATTTGACGTAGACATGAATTGGTTAAAACGATTGGTTAGTACGATTGGTTGAATTAGATTCAATTCTATTATTCCAATTAAATTGATAAATTCATTCCCATTAGAGGCATTTAAATTTTTTAATTAAGTTTATAGATTAGGTATTTTAGAAATTTGCCAATTACTTTTTTTTTTTATATTTCCTGTGTTTTGGTGTGTTTTGTTTGATTTATTTTACACTATTCCCACGATCTCAGTGCGTTTGTTGTTTTGAACTTTTTGAGAGAAGTCTTTTTTATACGTTTTTTCTTTCATAAAATTTATTTTTTTGGTGTGTCATTGCTATTTCGAAGCTATCTAGATGTAGTGTATACTAATACCACACTAACAAAATGTAGTATTTTTTGCACCAATTTACCGATAAAATTGATCTTTTGCATCTTTATACTATAAAGATTATACATTATGTAGTTTTTTTAGTATAATTAATATTAATATTATGAACTGAAGACGATGTTATAGAAACAAAGATAATTCAATATTAATCCGAAATTAAGGTACAATGACAGAAAATATTGGTGCAATAAGTATTATGAATTATACCAAGAGTACGAAACGGATGGTATTGAGATAGTCGTAAGCAGATAAATGAATAAATATTCGTAGCTTAGCTGTTTAACGTATTTTAACGTTTCTTATCAAATAAGAATTGTATGCCTTAATCGAAACTTCATATCGTTATTGTATTATTAATGCAAACATTTCGTTTGATTTCGATATGGTCGACCAAAGACTACTTTAACCATAAATAATAGTTATTTTTTTCCGACATAACCTCTTTAGTCATTCAACCCTGCATCGTTAATTTCACTTATGGGCTTTTATGTTTAAAGTAGATTTGGTCCAAATTATATTAGTACTATATTTATACTGTATTTTGAATTTTTGAGGCTTTTTTCGCATAATAATTGGATTTTAAAAGACATAACTAACATAACATAAAAAAGTATTCCTAACCATGCCAATAACTTGTGATGCCAACGAATTCTATGGAGAATTAATTAAAAAGTATTTGTTGATGGTATCTTGCATTTATTACTATAGTCAGGTTTGTATGAACGGCAAATTTAACTTTACTTTTATTCTGTTTTCTGAAAAATATGTCAGACGAAGTTTTTCTGAAAGAGAAAAAATGACCTTACAATTCGTCGATTATAAAAACCTGACATAAATATTAATAACTCTCCTTGCATAAATGCTTTGACATTTGAATGCAACGATGAGTTATTTTTGTACGATTTTATTATCATTCCAAAGATGTTTTATATATTATTATACATAGACTGTAAATTGTGTACTTGTATAATGATGCGCAATAGGCGATTCAAATCTGTTTTATCTTAAATTCCTTACATTCTTCCATTTTACTTATAATCTGATACAGTATTTGCCTTATTTATTATTTAAGTATGTAATATGTAAACAGATCTTTCAGCGCCATGACAATCCATAATCAATTTCGAATATAACTAAATTCATTTCTGAGTGGCATTCATTAAATGCTATACATAAACTCATTTTTTGCAGAAAGATATGATTGATATTTGTTCGAAACTACCTTAAAACGCTTTATGAAATGTATAAAATATGCCATATTTATATGTACTTACTATGTGTCATCTAATCTATATTTCGTCATTTCCTAATTTGATTTGATATCTTTTGTTTATAACGTTATTTTGAGCTTTAAAGTTGCGAGTACAATGCTGATAACATAAGATAGAATATTTAATATATAATTTAAAACGGTACATATAGCATAATAATATATTTATTAGCTTGTGGTGCTTGGGTACTTATTTGTGTAGTTCATAGGCGCTGACAATGGTGTACCTTTCTCGATGATAAATACAAAAAATATGATTACATAAATTCGTTTATTTTTCTTTGTTGTGTTTCTGAAACAGAGCCTTACAAATTACTGATTCATTTACATAAATATGGAATTTTATTTTACGAAATTATGTAACTAACATATCAGCAGCTGAAATATATTTTGGTTATAAAAGGTACACTCCTATCGGCCAAAATAATTAATTTTGTATTATAGTATTGTTTAATCACAGAAAGGGAAATTAGTTTCGGTTTTATGTATGTTATGTATTCTTCAAACTTATTACAACTAATGTGCGTTTTCTTAATATCCATTACGAATATAGTATTTTATAAGTAAACTTTTTTTTTATATTATGTAACTGTTTTTCCAAAATGTTTTATGATGTACTTTTTGTATGTACTTACAATGTTTTTCTCTACTTAAAATAAACATTTTCATTGGTACTTACCGTGTATTATTTATTGACCTATAATCATTTTACATTTTTGTCTTCTATTTTATGTGAATAGACATCAACATACAGAAAAGTTTAGAAGTTTGCAACGGTCGAGATCCATTTTACTATTATTTTAACTTTTTCCTCTTTTTTTTTGACTAATTCCACAAGCTATTCAAGTACAGTAAAATCGACGTTTATTCATGAATGAAGTCCTTTGAGTCTAGTACAGTCCGATCGAGTTAACTGCGCACTTGGCAGACGTGACGTCACATCGACGTGCGCACTTGGCAGACGTGACGTCACATCGACGTGCGCACTTGGCAGACGTGACGTCACATCGACGTACGGATGGGGTGAACGAGGGGATGTGCGAGGGAGTCGCATTCCAGCGAGGTGCATAGGTGCCTAGTTAACTCTATCTGGTGGTAGTGTTTCTTTTTTCAAATATTTTTGTAAAACGAATGATCTTATTATTATGAACACATATTAACCATTTATTTAGGTACATAGCAATTCGGTCCGAGAGAAATGATGATGAATCATACGATATCTTGAAGTGTTTCTATATCACTGACATATTTAACAAATCGCTTAGGCCCAGAGCACACGGTGAAACGAAACTGCAACTTCTAGTTACTTTTGAGTTGCATCTTAAGTTTCTGCCATAGATTCAGTTGTGTTTCACCGTGTGTTCTGGGCCTAACTTACTTATTTTTTTCACCAGAAACTAATGTGCTGCGCGGCCGACGTTCTCGAGGGCAAAGGCACAGTGCAAGTGGCCATCACAGTAACCGAGCTCCTTCGGCGACACAACAGCCTACGAGGCTCCCCGCACCCCGCGCCGCCCGCCGCGTCCGCGCCTTCCGCCGCCGCCACCTAGCGTCCGATGCTTGCGCTCGCGCCGCAATCCACTCTGTCGCTCTAGTGTACGTGAAGTGATAGTGAAGAAGTACAGCAAGGTATTTGAGACGACGTACTTGAAGTGAACATGTGTATGAGACGATTTGTTCTAGGTGTACCAAAAGTTAAATAAGTGTCTGAATGTGAAGCTATTAATACTAATATAGCAAGGTTTCTCGTCTCCCTATGACGTCATCTAGTGTCCGATGCTTGCGCTCGCGCCGCAATCCACTCTGTCGCTCTATCGTACATGACGAGGTATTTGAAGCAATTTGTTCTAGGTGTACCAAAAGTTAAATAAGTGTATCGGAAAGTGAAGCTAGACTTGTAATGCTATTACTAATTATGATAGGGCACGATTCTGTCACCTAATCTGAGGTTTCGTTCGGTTAAAAGAGTTGTCCACCCCTACCACGGTTTAAGTGGCCATCACAGTTACCGAGCTCCTTCGGCGACACAACAGTCTACGAGGCTCCCCGCACCCCGCGCCGCCCGCCGCGTCCGCGCCTTCCGCCGCCGCCACCTAGCGTCCGATGCTTGCGCTCGCGCCGCAATCCACTCTGTCGCTCTAGTGTACAAGTGAAGAGGTGTTTGAGACGATTTGTTCTAGGTGTACCAAAAGTTAAATAAGTGGCTGAATGTGAAGCTATTACTACTAATATAGCAAGGTTTCTCGTCTCCCTATGACGTCATCTAGTGTCCGATGCTTGCGCTCGCGCCGCAATCCACTCTGTCGCTCTATCGTACATGACGAGGTATTTGAAGCAATTTGTTCTAGGTGTACCAAAAGTTAAATAAGTGTATCGGAAAGTGAAGCTAGACTTGTAATGCTATTACTAATTATGATAGGGCACGATTCTGTCACCTAATCTGAGGTTTCGTTCGGTTAAAAGAGTTGTCCACCCCTACCACGGTTTAAGTGGCCATCACAGTTACCGAGCTCCTTCGGCGACACAACAGTCTACGAGGCTCCCCGCACCCCGCGCCGCCCGCCGCGTCCGCGCCTTCCGCCGCCGCCACCTAGCGTCCGATGCTTGCGCTCGCGCCGCAATCCACTCTGTCGCTCTAGTGTACAAGTGAAGAGGTGTTTGAGACGATTTGTTCTAGGTGTACCAAAAGTTAAATAAGTGTATCCGAATGTGATGTGAGACTTGTAATTGTTACCTACCCGGTAAATTATCTATAGCCAAGTTTCGGCTCTCCTCGCCGCCGTCATCTAGTGCCCGATGCTTGCACTCGCGCCGCAAACAACTCTGTCGCTCTAGTGTACGTGAAGTGATAGTGAAGAGGTATTTGAGACGATTTGTTCTAGGTGTACCAAAAGTTAAATAAGTGTATCCGAAAGTGATGTGAGACTTGTAATTGTTACCTACCCGGTAATTTATCTTATAGCCAAGTTTCGGCTCTCCTCGCCGCCGTCATCTAGTGCCCGATGCTTGCACTCGCGCCGCAAACAACTCTGTCGCTCTAGTGTACGTGAAGTGATAGTGAAGAGGTATTTGAGACGATTTGTTCTAGGTGTACCAAAAGTTAAATAAGTGTATCCGAATGTGAAGCGAGACTTGTAATATGTTAGTCGAGCACTTGGTCAATACTATCACCCGGTACCATAAGATAGCAAAGATTTTCCACCCAATGCCGTCTGACATCTACCGCGAAGCTTGCGCTTGCGCTGCAATCTACTCTGTCGCTCTAGTGTACAAGTGAAGAGGTATTTGAGACGGTTTGATTTGTTCTAGGAGTACCAAAAGTTATGGATAAGTGAATAAGTGTATCGAACAATTTGGATAACGATATGATCGGACACTGTCGATTCTACCACCGGCGCCATCAAGTGGCCAAATCTTGCGCTGGCGCTGCAATCCACTTCGTAACTCTAGTGTACCTAATAAAAAGGTATTTGAGACGAATTGTAAGTGTGACCGACCGTAAAGCGAGGTATTATCGCATTACCGGATAGTTTACCCTAATGGGTTTAGGTTTAGTCACCTAGTGCCCGAAAAATGTAGCAAGGATTCGCGTGGCTGTAAATATTTTTTTGAAACCTAATAGAGACATAAAAGTAATTTATTTTCTGCGAGAAACCTTTACAAAGCGCTTAGACACAGTCTAAAATTATTACTACAGTCGTACTAACACTGTCGTTCATAATTTTACACTCCGAAATCGAGGAGACAATGGAATCGAAAATAAACTATATCCAAACTGCCACGTAGTGTGGTCTGTAAGTGCTAATTTCTATATTTCTAATGAAGGTTCACGCCCACCGACCTTTGGCCAAGAAAGCGAATGATTTTGAATTGATAACTAGTTGGAGGCTAAGTAATTTTAGTCCCTAATGTGAGGTATCAAAATTAAATGTAATTTATCACTAGGAAATTCGACCCTACATTAGATTAGAACTGCTTGTTCGAGAGAGAGTGACGTCACTTCGAATTAGATCAAGTCAACCAAATTACAATAAAAATGTATTTGTAATGTGATATAACTTTCCACTGCTTGATCTCACTTGAGGGGTATCCTTCNTTAGTAATCCCACTTGAGGTGATAAAACATCACTAAATAGTGTTGTACTCTGATTGGTCTGAGAATGAATCAATTACATAAACTTTTTACGACTTTTACCAATCTAGGAATCTAATAAAATAAGTATTTACCAATTCTAATAATATTACACGGGGAATGTTGTTTATTATGGCAATACCAAAGCCTACAGGCAACAAATGTGATTATATTTTTTAACCTTTTCAAGGAGATGTTTCTGTGTACGTCTTCCCCATGTAATTTCCTTGTTTGAATTCCTATATCCATGTAGACAATCCTAAGAACATAATTTTAATGGTTCTAGACTAAATAACGGAATGAATTTAAATGTAAGATATTAAAGCAATAGCCTATATTGTAAGCTATACTACCTTGACCATTATAGTGTATTCTAACGTGTTTGATACTTGACGTGTGTGCGGACTTAGACTTTGAATTTTTGTAGAATAATATCGCTATTAATTAGCGCATGAGCACGGTGCACGCTCTTATGTCCATTGCAGACATTGGTTACATTGTTTAACCTAAAAGACAGTAAAAAAAGGCCATATTAAACATTGGAAATTGAGTGGACCATGTTCCTTACATTTTTGGATGAGACGCAGATATTTCTCCAGTTTGTTGACACATAATGTCGTCACAAGACATGAATAGAGTCAAATTATGGTGTAAGGATGGTGTTTGTCACCATTAAGCTCGTAGTCACAACCACTTAAGGTGCTTCTGATCTTCTGCACAACAATCACGAATTTACTAGGGAATTTTCGACCTGTCATTTACACATGTTATGTATGTAGGCACGTTTAGCGCAATTTGTTGAATAGTGAAGTGCCTCATCCGATGTACAGTCGGATTCAACAAAGATAGACAGATTTATAAAAGGTTTTTTTTTGTCGTATCAGTAAGCAAACTTTACTTAAAGTGATATTTTTGACATAATCTAAGTTAATGAAATACCAAATTACACTGAATCCGACTGTACGTAATGTCCAAAGTAGTCAATGAAGTGTCTTAGTAAGATAGCTTTTGTCATTATAGTAACGAATTTGAACTGACGTCTATGAATTGAGGCAGAATGCCTCTTCTACGTCATAAGTTTTTATACATTTACTATAAGAGTATCTTCATGATAATTCATTCTTTGTGTCATTAAAATGAGTTAAATGGCTTAAAAACTTTTTTACTTGTTAAATGCCCATGATCTATTTGAGTGAGTGTTGAAATTTTGATGAAAAGAACATTTTCTTTTTAAAAGTTAATCTTCACCCAATGTAATTTTGGCATAGCATTAATTTTCTTGATGATTTGTATATGCCTTACTAAGGTATGAAAAATATTGTTATTCTACTTTGAATTTTGTCTATAACCAATAAGGTAAATAAGTGACAAATTATTTAAAAAAAGTACTTGTACTTGTAGTATCTTGTGTAGATTTTTTCCGCTTTTAAGATATGTCAGTAGTGTCATTTTTTATAAAGTATCAATTATTATTACGCCAAGTCTGCAAAGTCATTAGTAGAAGAACCAATGGATTTAACTGAATGTGATTATTGTACCATAATTTTGGCTGTGCAATCCTGTAGAAAATTCGCAATGGTTCAAAATGTAGTATAAATAATAGTGAACCTTGATTAGTCACTTTTAGATTCTTTTCTATTCTATTGATCAAATAAATATAGGTTAAAAAATCCGTTTAAAATGTACGGTCAAATAGGTACCTACATATTTGTTTTAGTAAAAAGATTTTTTAAAAGATGATAAAATTTTTTGGTTGTGTTTATTTTTCACATGTTAATAATAATAGTGAACTTTTTCACTTACTCGATGGCATAGAATACTTAATAAGTTATTTGATAAAATGATTTTCTTCTTTTCAATTTGTAATATCAATGATAGTATAATGATTTTTCTATCTCAAACTTTGTAAATATTGATGATTATAATACTGTACGTAAATGTAAACATATCCTGTCCTTTACCACCGATTTCCGGACATTATGTAATACTATAATACTCATATAATGTATTTTAGGATATTTTTTTCTTGTCACATTAATGTAGTCAATTCTAAGTTAGGGTCACAATACTTGTGTAAAATAAAAGGTAAGTCAAAGTTTTGTGTTTTTATGATTAAGATAAAATATTGTAATTAATTAAAGGAAAGCTTTATGATTTTTATTTGCTAATACATTATGATTTGTTATTGAATGAAACTTGATGCGAACAAAAAATGGCATTACTTTATAGATATTTAAAATTATGTGTAATATATTGCAATGTAAAATAGGTATTCTTTATAAACAAATGTATCCCACATATTTTTTGTAATATTCAATGTAATTAATTTTGAACAAATAAGATGTAATTTTCTTTGTTTTGTGTTACCACAAGGTATAAATATAGGATATAAAATTATTATATTTGTATGCATTTTGTAGTCGTTATCTATATCGTATTTAATGTATCTATCAACCTATAAATTGGCTTCTACACATTGTCGGTATTTTAACATGAGTTTATTCAAAATTGAACTTGCAATGGTCCTGTCAATATAAGAAAATATGTTATTTTTCTGAGACTAAAAAACATCGTCTATGTATAGAAGCTATGAAGGAATGTGTATAATATAAGTTTAAGTATAAAAGAACTGAATGTCGGAATCGAGTCTTTGTCCTATTCAAAGATAATGTGCCAAAGACTATGGTTGAGGGATTTTCTTTTAAAAACACTGTGTATTGCACTGGTCTCTTAGAAGTAAGTATTATTTGGCAATACCGTATCCTACACACGTGTTTATATGTAGATAAAATAAAACATATACATTTTCAAATACATTTTGTTTCATTTGCTTTATTTATCGGTGACAATTGATCACAATATTAAGAGTCATATCGACACGACACGACGACGATTTTCTTCACGATAAACGCGACTTATGCTCCGTTTGGTATTTTTGTAGTTTTTTTTATACTGACGCCCGTATTCACAAACGATACTTGCTTATGTGAAGCAGCAAATCGAACGCACGGCGTTGATGAGCTATGTGATTGGATCGTGTGTCACCCTGTGCGTCCACGCGCACTGTGAGACCTCATAGTAATGTTTGTGAATACGGGCGTGAATTTTGTACTGCCTAACTAGTACCCGATGTACCTATTGTTGACGGTACATATTACATACTACGTCTTGCACACACGGCCACAGTGTTAACTATCCATTTTTGTTTTTGCTCTCGCTCTCATCAAAATAAATGGTGATTCTTTGCGATAGAACGAGACGACATGGCCGGCAATGGGCAGTTAACACTGTTGCCGATAGTACCACAGAATAATAATAAGTACTACGTACAGAAGTTTTACTTCGCGAAGGTATTTAAAAAAATGTATGGTCAATGTCATTAACAATATGGTGTAATTTAGCTTGTCTCAAGAGTCAAGCAAGTTTGTCAAAAGTTTTGTTGACAAACGTCAGTGATCGGTACTGCGCCGAAGCTATAGGGCTGACTTCGGTAAAATGATGTGACGTGAGGTGCCAATCTGCAGAAAATGGCGGAGGAAATACATGATTTAGCATGAATTATCATGAATAATATTAACTACTTATTTACCTCTCAGTGTCTTGAGGCAACTTAAAAAAGTACATTCTGTGTTTTTATTATTATTTAGGCAGTTAAATACTGCACAGTATTTAGTACACCATTTTCTTTATTTTTTTCCATCATACACAAGAATACGCGTGCGTGAGTCAATGTTCGCTCGTATGTGAGGCCTTGCCGAATAGTACTCTTGTAGGGGGCAATCGTGCGTGTTTTGTTTTCGATGTAGGTAAACTCGCGGAGATGAACAGGCCTGATAGTAGGTACCTACATGGCACCGCGCCTGACCGTGCCTTAAGTCATATTTTAATATCTTCCGAGTTCATTTCAACTCCATAATAGGCAATCATTTCACCTCACGCAAATATTTGAATATCAATCGCCCTTTCAAACCAAGCGGCTAATATCTAGTTACAAAAAGGCGGTGTCCAAAATCTATTTAGGAAAAAGTTGCAAGTAACTGACGGGTATTATAGCGGGGTAATTACGTCCAATATTCCGGTGGGGCGTGCCGAGTACTAGAGGAGTCTAATCGGCAAGCGCTGACTAGCAAGTTTGGGGAACGCCTTTGACGCCGTTTGGGTGCGCTGGCGCCGGCCGTATGGTGTATGGTGGCATTGGTGGCTACTGGCTTTGGGCAGGGTATGGATTGTCGTTTTTTTTTGGAAAAAAGTCCCGTAGCCGCTGTGATGGTCAGACAATTGGTGTGACAATGCGTGGAAATATTATGCGAGTAATTTCTTAGTAATAATAAGCCAATAGTCTTAAGTTTTTATAGGCTGGGCGTGAGCCAAAATTTTTTATAAATAGCAATAGTACTCGATTGCTCAAAAACTGTTTGAGGAAGCGGTAAATTGCAACAATTAGTTCTTTGCAATGAAGAATAATGGGCTTAGCACATGGTAGACAAAACCATAATTGAATTTTGGCTTAATTTAAAATAGCATTGTCAAATAGGCGTAATACAGTGAAAACTAATTAATTATGTAAGTATTATAAATGTTGTTTTAAAAACTTTCTATAACACCGTTGCGACGTTGATGCTGACTGATATAAGTTTTAATTAATTATTATAACTGAAAAAAAAAATACAAACAATCATGTTTACAAGGAATTCAAGTTTTTTATTTACTAACAAGTAGTAGGTTGATGTAACAAAATCCTATTAAAATGATGTGTTCGCATGAAATTAATATCCGATCAAGAAATCAATTCGTTGTAATTTCATTGACTCACAAAAGGAAGGAAACACCGGCATTGTTGAAAGAGCTCCCGAATAAAGCCGAATTCATTCACTATTAACCGTTGTCAGTCGAAAAAATGGTAGGGCCATTGTTAATTTTACGCCTACTAGCTTTCTACTTTTATTA